CTGCGCGTCGCCGACGATAATGGATCTAGTGGCAAGCGCACGAGGACGATGGCATGCTGCAGCTCAGTTCGAGGAGATAAAGCAGCTGGTTGGCCACCATGCTGTTCCCATTGGCCAGCACATTGGACTCGCAGACTTCTGGAGCAGCAACCTCGACATTGACATCAATATCAGTCTGCGACCTGCCATTCGGATCAGACCTTAGCACCAGATCAAGACTACCGGACGCCTCATGCAACTGGGACATTCAAGCTGAAGCCCTGTCGACGACGTCCTGAGATGACTGAAGACTGTTCCCTCCTCGATACTTCTGCGACTCTTCTCAAGACCTGTTCCCAAGACCTTCGCATAACCACTACTCAGAAATTTTGCAACCATACCCCTGAAAAACCGTAGTTCATCAATAGGACCACCCTGTTCCCCACAATTCCAAAACCCTTAGTTCATCAGTAGGATTACCCCGTTCCCCGTTGTCCCTAGACCTTTAGTTCATTAATAGGACCACCCTGTTCCCCGCAGTTCCAAAACCCTTGCACATCAGTAGGATTGCCCTGTTCCCCGTTGTCCCTAAACCCTTAGTTCATCAGTAGAACTACCATGTTCCCTTAGCTCATCAATAGAACAACCCTGTTCCCAGCTCACAATTACAAGCCCTGTTCCCTAATCACACAACCAGACACCTGCATTATACCCCTCTTCCCTTGTGACTGGCTGACCAGTGATCGGCCCCGTCCCGTCCTCCGCAGTTTTCAGCATTGTTTCAGGACTTTTGGCAGCCGAGATGTTGCCTTCTAGAGGGGGGGGATAGTGTTACGGACTCAGCCAGGGCTCGATCCCTGGTCCATGGGTTACCACCCGCCAGGCTGCTATTTTATTCTGAGTTTCTGTTTTCCGGTTCTGGACTGCTGGCGCCCTCTCAGTTGGCGCCCGTTCTCAAATTCCTCCATGGGCATTTTCGGATTTCGATACTTGGCGCCATCCGGCATTCTGGTGCCCAGACGCAGACCTGCGATCCTCAGTTCAGTCCTGAGGCAGGCCGCACCTCGGCCCTCCGGACTGAGCCTGAGTCCGGTACTTAAGTCCGGACTCGAGCCCCGTTGGGGCATTCAGTCTTTGGCCTCAGTGCTTGTGCTTCAGTGTGACTTGCCGCGACTTTGTGTTCGGAATCCAAGATTGCGACTTTGCGATTTTGAGACTTTGTCACTTCGTG